GTTTTTTTTTCAATGTAAATAATTATGTCACATATACGGAGAAATTTTTTTCCTTCTTTACAAGCTAGTATCTATGTTGTTTATATTTCACAATTGATTTTTGTCTGTGTTGCACTCATTGGAATTTTTGGTGTAATATGAAATAGGAGACAGAAGAGCTAAGAGAGCAGACAGCTTTGTTTGTCACCTTCAGGGCAAGCATTCATGCATTCGCCGCAAGTGTAATGTTAGTTATGAGGTTTTTCCATGTGCTCTTTATCAGGCTAAGGGAATTTACTTCTGTTTCTAGTTTGCTGAGGTTCTTAATCAAGAGTAGGTGCTGTATTTTGTTAAATGATTTTCATGCATCTATCAAGATGATGATTATTATGCATTTTTTTTCTCCTTAGTGCATTAAAATTGATTAATTTTTATTTTTAGTGTTGAATTGGGTTTGCATTCCTGGGACAAATGATATGCAATCATGATGTATTATCACTACATAGATTTCTAGATTGGATTGACTAATCTGTTGGAGATTTTTAAATCTTTGTTTATAATGGATGATGGTAATATTATTTTTTTCTACCAATTAATCCTCTCTTGATTAATTACCTAATCCAGTGTCAATTCTGTGAAAGTAGCTGTCATACTGTACTATGAAAGAAAAAAATGACAAGAAAAAAATGCACACATGTTTGGGACTGGCGTATTAAAAAATTATGCTAGGTGTAGTAATACATGCCTGTAATCTCAGCACTCCACTCAGGTGAAGACAGGAGAAATTTGAGTTCAAAGACAACTTCCAGTATGTAGTGAGTTTGAAGCCAACCTTGACTACATGAGACCCTGTCTCAACTAAACCCAAACAGAACAGATAAAACTCCCCCAAACAACAGTGAAGACAGCCCTTCCAGTCTGAAGTTGGTGAATCTGTGGATAGAGAGCTGCAGATCCAGAAGGCTGGCTGTGTATTAGGGGCCAGGTCAGGTGACGGTCAGGCTTTGTCCAACAGCCTGCCCTGAGCACATTCATTCCCTGTCTGCTTTGTATTAAAATGAGGTGATTTGCTGCCAGGGACTTATGGAAATGACCGACACCAGAGGATTCCCAATGCCTAGACCTTCCTTGTCTGATTTGCTTAAGCAGACTGTCTGGGGACAAAGCCCAGTTATTTAGAACTAAGTCCCTAATAAGCAACACGATGATCACAGTGTTTGCCATCAAGAACCACCATGGAGCAGGGGCTACTCCAGGGAGCCATCAACACCAGGCAAAACGAAATAATCCTGTTTTGCATAGAAGATCAAGGCATGGACTCCCTCCAGGACTAGAACACATCTTCCACATTCAAATACAGAGACCAAACAGAGACTGGTTATAACTGAGGAAGGAGACCCACAGTTGCTGCCGCCTGACTTGACTTGGCAATAATATTTTATTTCACAGCAATAATATTTTTCCAGTGTTCTCATTGGGTGGGTCCCAAATTTGCTTTTGTTAGCGTTCCTTGTGGGGTGGTTGATGTTGCAAATAACTGTTAGGTAGCGAGGCCAGGGAATTGATAACATAGGGAAGGGAGACTTTCTGTCCCCAGTCACAAAGATTTATGATCTCTGAATCAGAGAATTCTCTTGAGTTAATTTTTAACAGTTCCCATACCCAGCTCTTCTTAATAAAGATTATTACACAGGCGACATGGTGGAGAAGATTGGCTAGCGAGGCCGTGAGAGTTTTGTCCATCAAGGAATTACTAAACAAGTCAATCATTGCTCTGTGTATGTGCACACATGTGTGTGTGTGTTGCATGTGCATGTCATGTATGTGGCGGTATGAAAGGGCACACTTAAGTGTTTGACTTCTACCTTTTGTTTGACATAGGGTCTCGTTGGCCTGGAACTTAGTTTTTTCCCTTCAGACTGGGGACTCTTCTCTTCTTCCACTGTTGTTAATGGTCATCACCTGCTATTAAGTGATGTTTCTTGCTTGACAATGGTCATTATGTCCTCCATGAATCAGATCAAAGAGATAATGGAGCCAAGGGGCTACTAAAACTATCTCGCCAGTGTCCATAACCTCTAGTTATGTCCTGATATTCTTCTTTGTTGTGTCAGTAGGGACAAGGCCCTCATTTCTGTAGGCAAAAGTTTACTCTAGAAGAGTCTAACTCCTGAAAGATTACCGCTTGGTTGCTCACTTTCACTACACAAAATTTGTTTTCGTTCTTAATTGTCCTTTGTGAATATTTTTGTTGGCAGTCCTTGGCCTTATTAAATTTTGTAGTATTCACTGATCATACTGAAGAGTGACTGTGTGAGTTCCCTCTTCTCATTTGAACCTTTTTATAACCCTTCAAGGTAAGCGGTGGGTTCAGCCTCACATTTTAAAGATGGGAACACAGGCTCAGAGAGGAGAGGTTAGGCATCTTTTTCTGAACACTGGGATGTAAAATAAATAAATGAATTTAATTAAAATTATAAATACACGCACGCATGCACACACGCACACACACATAAAATAAAAGTCTGCAGTTTCCTCTCCCTCCTCTCCTGCCCCCATCTCTCCTCTACTCCCCCTAATCTGTTCCTCAGTTTCTGTTCAGAAAGGGGCAGGCCTCCCATGGATATCAATAAATCATGGCATATCAAGTTGCGGCAGAACTAGGCACCTCCCCTTGTATTAAGACTGGGCAAAGCAACCCAGTATGAGGAATGAGGAATAGGTTCCCAAAAGCCATAGGCTGTATCCTAGTCCTTCAGGTTCCTGTAGGTACCAGTCATTGTCTGCTATGCTCTACGTTTATTTTTTAAATCATAAAATATTTAAAATTTACCAAAGTACAGAAAAATGAATGAACAGACTACCATGTACCCACCACCCAGAATGAGCAAATGTTCACTAACATTTTGTTCCAGTTGCCTCAGATGATTAAAAAAGAAAGTTATGCAGACTGTTCCATGCCACTGTGTCTCCATAGCCACTCCATTCCCTCTCTCCTTGCTCCCCTTGACCGTCTTTCCTTCAGGCTGGAGTATCTGCCCTTTACATCTGTGTGTGTTGTGAACAAGCAATGTAAGGCTTCAAATGTGATGCTTGTGTTTTTCCTATCAACACAAGCAGAATCAGTCATGTGGTTAAACTTTGGTAAACTTTCCTCATTTTCATATTTTTAAGGTGTATTTGTGCTAATACAAGTGGATCCCACCATTTAATCAACTGTCATTAATATTCCACTGAGCGAGCTATTGCAAGTAAACCACAGCTCATTTTTCTCCTCGGAGCACTTCACACCCTCTACACATACTGGACAACTGTGTACGGCTGTGGCAATTGCAGAGGCTGAGGCATCAGGGTCCTTGACATGTCAATGCCCATGTCAGCAACACCCATTCAGTCAGGACTTCACTCATTCCCAACACCTCTGCTTCTCAAGATCTGAACTTACGTGTGTGTGCTATTATGACCTGCTGAATCAAGTTTTTAAAAATTATTTTTCATTTCCTATAGTACTTCAATAACCATACCATACACACACATATACATACATATATGTATACATACATACATACATATATGTAAATATACATACACGACTTACATTACTTTTGTTTAGGAGTGAGTTCTTAAAATGTGATTTAGCAAGCTTTGCCGGAATGCTTTGCAAAAGTGTTGGTGCCATCTCTAATCATCAGCTTTCCCACAGAAACCTGTCCTTTGCAAACCTGAATAGAGCTGTCTTGTTGAGGACTTACTTAACCTTGTTTTGATTTCCTTTTTTAAAACATTTATTTATTTTTGTGTGCATTGGTGTTTTGTCTGCCTGTATATCTTTGTGAGTATGTCAGGTCCCCTGGAACTGGAGTTACAGACAGTCGTGAGCTGCCATATGGGTGCTGGGAACTGTACCTGGGTCTCTGGAAGAGCAGCCAGTGTTCTTAACCCCTGAGCCATCTCTCCAGCTCCCTTGATTTCTTTTTTATTCATTTATTTTATGTGTATGAATGTTTTGTCTGTGCACGTGTGTGCATTATATGCGTGCCTAGTACTCTTGGAAGCCAGAAGAGAGCACTGGATCTCTTGGAAATGGAGTCACAAGCAGTTATGAGCTGCCCAATGTGAGTGCTGGGAACTGAGTGTGAACCTTCTGCAAAAGAGGGGATTGCGCTTAACCACTGATCTATGAAGCACAACTAATAAACACTCAGAGACAGATATTGAGGTTCAACCTGAAGACCACCAGAAAAGCAAAGCAGTCAGCCACTGGCTCTTACCTTGACCTCAGTCCAAAACTGGTGATCCTGCCTCCAGGAAGCTTCAGAAGAGACTGAGCCTGAGAGCTGTCTCCTCCGATTTTATAATCCTCTCTAGTTCTGGGATTAAGGGTGTGCACCACTACTGCCTGGTTTCTTTGACAAAATAGTGTGGCTACTGAGATTAAAGGTGTGTGTTATTGCTGTCTGGTCTGTAAGACTGGCCAGTATGGCTGTTTTACTTTTCTGATCTTCAGGCAAGCTTTATTTATTAAAATACAAATGAAATGACACTACAGATCTATCTCTAGTTCTGTATTGGTTTGTTTTCTAATGAATCTTGAGGGTTGGTGAATGTGTCAACTGGTCATTCTGTGAACTGTGTGTTTGTGCCTTGTCCACATGTATCTGATTGTGGGTGGGGGTGTGGGGGTATCTTCTGCTGAACATGGCTTTCTGTGAATGGGCACACAAGTTGTGCAGGTGACTCTCAGTGGAAGACCTTGGGTGTGGTGTGGATGTTAATACTTTAAGATTTTATTTGTGAGACTGAATGTTTTCTCTTTTTCCTGTAAGATCATGGAGTTTGCATCTGAAGGAGATTAGCATACGCATATCTTCTCATTCTTTCCCCCTTAAATGTCTCCTATAGTTCACTGTAATTTTTAAATTTAGAAATGTCATTAACACGAGCTCTTTAAAGAAGTAGATTTTTTTCTTTGTAATTATAGCCAGCAAGGCATCCGCAGTCATATCCTAAATACCACTCACCTGGGTATGAATGCGGCAGCCAATGCTGAGCAGAAGAACAGCAGCAACATGCAACATGTGTTCTCGTTGTCCCCTTTGTAAACTGTACACTTTGATCTTTGCTCAATACCACGAGGCTTGCAGAGAGGAAGCCACTGCCAGGTGGTGGCTTCACACACGGGAAGGGGGAGCTTGCTATGCATGACTGGTGTTTTTGTTTCAAAATCGAGTAAAGAAACAAGGCTGCTGTCATCAAGGCCGATACTTGCCCTCAGGAGCGGAGGCAGGCCTGCACATCTCAGAGAGTGCGGGCAATCCCTGCAGGTCCCCAGTCCTAGCATTCTGGAGGTCTGAGGCATGGCGATTCATTTCTCTGTTCCCCTGCTGCCCCTGAAGTGTTTCTGATGTGCAGATGAAGACAGTTAGTGTGGCCAGTTTGTATTTTAGACCTAATTTTCAGAAGCACTGAAGTATGAGGCAGAGAAGGAAAGCATTGAGTCATAGTAGCATGCCATTCGCTTGTGTCTGCGTGCATTACGTACATTTCTAGAACCTTCTCTTATTGATCTGGAATAGCTTTTGCCCTCGTGAGGGGGAAGCAGGGGGAGGTGCAGACCAGTTACTGGATGTGGGGTGGGGGTGGGGTCTGAGTGCTGTGCTTCGGGTCTGAGGGCAGGTGTGCAATTCTCCTTCGAAGTTCTCAGCCAAAAGAGGAGGTAGTGGAGCAGCGCATCTGTCTCATAAGCAATAAATAAATAAATAAATAAATAAATAAATAAAGCGGAAGCACAAGTCCAGATAGCTTCGTAACTGAATTCAAGTCAGAATGGTGGACTTTTCCTAGCTCAGTGAGGAACCTGAGTAAATGTGAATCGATTCTAATTTCTGGGGTGGTGAAGAAAAAGATACCCAACAGCATCGTACAAACACAATGATGGAAAGCTTTAATGGGATTGGTCCAGTCGTCCCCCTTTGTAGTGGGGTGGGGAAGTGGGGTTCAAGTCAGCATCCAGCATGAGAAAGAGGAAGTGTATGGTCAAAGAACAGGTGGGGTCAGTGGGTGCAGAATGATAGGAGGAAACATCTGGGACCATGGAGGGATGCTGATGACTCAGTGGGAGTCTGGACACACACCTGGGGTGCGGTGGAGGCTGCGGACCTGGTCAGCTAAGGGTGGAAACCAGGCTTGAAGGATGGGGACGGGTATTCTTGCCTAAACTGGATCTTACCAGGAGGATATAGGTGGGTCTAGGGGAAGTTTCAGGAGCTCAACTAATAGTTTATTTAGCCAGACCTGTGATATTTGGGAAGCCAATGCAGGACTGGAGTATTTTTTTTTAGATTTATTTTTAATCATGTATACATGTGTGTATGTCCATGCATGTGTGAACGCAAGTGTCTTAGGAGTTTGGAAGGGTATTGGATCCCACAGAGAGGGAATTTCAGGGGCTTGTGAGCCTCTGGGTGGGGTGTTGGGAATCAAACTTGTGCCCTCTGCAAGAACCTGCCCTGAACTGCTGAAGCTGAGCCGTTTCTGTAGCTCTTGGGCTGGCTGGATGTGTGTGTGTGTGTGTGTGTGTGTGTGTGTGTGTTTCCACCTCACACATGTAGTCTTATACCTCTCACGAGAAACCTGCTGTGTCTTTGCTGTGGCAATGGGTCCCAGGCTTCCTGTTACTTTCACTAACCAGCCTCTGCACCAGCCCTGAATCTTGCAAGTGTGGTTCTCTTCTCTGGAAAGTTCTGCATACGCTCACCACTCCCTCTTACAAAAAATTGTCAGCAGAGGTTTGCTCGAACCATGTGTTTATTACATGTATGTTTGAGTGCTGATGTGTACATGTGTGATGTGTTTTATGTGTATGTAGGTGTGCATGTTTTGTGTGTGTGTGTGTGTGTTGTCTCCCTCCCCACACCTATGCATACACACATATGGAGGCCAGAGAACAATGTTTGCTGTTGTTACTCGGTGCCATGTGCCTTGCTTCAGGACAGAGTCTCTCATTGATCTGGAGGTCACAGATTAGTCTAGGCCGGTTGGCCCTGAACTCCATGGATCTCTTTACCTACCCCCACCTTCCCAGAGCTTGGATTCCAGGTGTGTGTCATCACATCTCACTCTTTGTACATGGTTTCTGGAGATCACCTGGGACTTCAGGCTTGCCTGGTGAAGTGCTTTACTGACTGACCTGACTCCCCACTACATATGGATCTGTTTCTTCTCAGAAACAGATCACCCTGGCATGGGAGTTTTTAGGGGCAGAGAAGCCCCCTCGCCTCTCTTCAACACCTTTCTTCTCGTTTGTCCCATTGCGTGTTCACTGACTCAGTGGCCTGAGTGCCCCTTTCTCCCGATCCCTCCAGCTCACAGATGTGTGACCTGCCCTCTGTGTCGGGGGCTCTTTGCCACTGTTCCTTAGCATCTTGTAGCATAAAGAGTGCCCTGACTTATGTGATTTTGTGATGCGTGGCAGCTTGTCACTCTCATTTCCTTGAAAGAGCAGCTACTCTTCACAGGCTGTTTAAAGCGTGGCTAGTCTCCAGTTTCATTAAGGCCTTCCTGCTGAGCCCTGCTAATGTCTTCGTGTGCCACATTGGCCTGCCCCCAGGAAACACACTCTGATTTCTGCGGGGCTGTCAATAGTTGCGTGCCTCTTAACGGGAAGTGGTGTGCTGATGGAATCTTAAGGACTTTAATCATGGGCCAATTTGGGGGAGTCTCTTAGACAGCCACGTGTTTTGGAAGCCTTCAAATCACCTAGCCTGAGGAATCTTTGTTTGGGGGACTGTCTTGTTTTGACCTGTCTTGAATATTAGGGCAGCCCAGCCCTGAGCATCAGGAAAGCTGGTGTGGAGGACCCGCGGTGTGTTGTGCAGTTAGAGCCTTTCTTTGCTCTCCTGGGCCAGAATGAGTGGCATGCGCTTGGGACTTGGGCCTCTCTGTTGCTCTGAAAGTTGTTCTAGTCCCTGCCCTTGGGACTTGGGTGTCCTGTCAAGAGCTTGTTTGTGCCTACGTTCTTTCTGATGGATCATAACCCCATGGTCAGGGAATAGAAACAATCCAAGTGAACCATGCTGTCATGATCTGGCCTATAGTGTTTGGCCAAGGTTTAGTACCACAGTATCATCTTTTGTTCTGCTGAGGGCGGGGTGGTCACAGGGCATATATACTGTGAGTTTTGGCCAGAGTGTGTATGTGTGTCATCAGCTTTTCATAATAAATTGACTATCAGCCTCTGTGTGTGTAAGTGACTGCACAGCAAACAGAATGTTCCCCCATAGCAAAGCCTGAAGAGGTACGAACTTTGCTATGGGCTGAGAACAGTTAATGTGATTATCTTGTAAGGGACAAAAGGGCTTGCCAGCTGTGCCTGAGGATTAAGTTAGTTCTATTAACTAGGGAATGCACAATGAGATGTAGGGGCCATTGAGAAGAGAAGGACCAGTGGGTGGGCAGGAGGGTCAGTTTGGTTTCTACTGAGCATTTGTCCTTAGGAAAAAAGTGAAAATTAAGAAGCCAAGACCAAAAAAAGCACTGAGAGTTTCAGGGTAGAAAGGTGTGCTGCAAAGCTCTGTCCCTCTTTCGCAGCAGAAAGTGCAGGCTCAGCAAAGTAGGAGGGCAGAGGATCTCAGCCTCAGCCCTTGGCTGGGTGCAAACACACGGGAGGAGGTCAGCTGTCCTATGAGAAAGCTCTCTGGTTACGGCAATGTTGATGAATTTACCCATCTAATAGAAATGGCTCTTTATTGGTTAGGATAGGGGACTCTGGACAGTTTTGGAGAGTGGGGAGCACAGTGGGAAACCCTTGGTACCCCTTTATCATCACTCTTTCTGAATTTGAGGTTTGATCACAGCTAGACTGGTGGGGAAGTGGTACGGTCTCAAAATGACAGAAGACTTCAACATCAGGTCACGGTTAGACTGTCAACGTTATTAGCTTGATAGCAAAATGTGAGTTTCTCTGAGCCTTAGTTTTCTCAGCTGTAGAATGGGCATGATAATGTTACCATGTAGAGTTGTTGGTAGAATAAGAATGTGGTTGGTTAGGGCAGGGAGGGGGACAGAGAAAAATGTAGAGCTCAATAAAATCAATGAAAAATGTGGTTGATAACAGTATTTTAAAGTGAGCTCCAATAAACAGTGATGGTGGTGTGGTGATTCTGCGGAGAAGAAGGCGGTGGTGATGGTGATGACGTTTCTAGGTTAAAAGAGCTTCCTTGGTTTTTGGACAATAGTGTAAGGGAAAAGAATTATTCTGTACTGTAGTCTGCATGCGGATGCAGCTGTACCTCAGTCGTCAGGTGTTTGCTTAGTGTGCATGAGGCTCTGAGTTTGATCCCTAGTAATACACTTGCACACACACACAGATCCAACTTCTGTACTCCTGAGGATGCGGAGAGTAGCCCACATCATAACCACCTTCCGCTACAGCTTTGTTTGTGAAATCACCCACATGGTAACTCAATGATCAAAATGTGTGCGGCAAAGACAGACAAGAACAGAGGTCCTTTTAAAGGTGGAAGTAGAGAAAGTGGGTTTTTTTTTTTAATGTCATTAAGTAGCATAAATAAGGGAAATGTTGTCCATACATGAAGTTCCTGCATGCCAGAGCCTTTTGTTCCTGTTTGTTTAAAGGACACGGGACACGGTCCAAATACATTTGGTTGGAATGAGGATATTGCATGTTAACCGACTCTGTTTATTTTCCCTCTTGCTTAAGTCCCTCCCTCCCCCCACGCCCCCCTCCCCCCGCTTCCCGCTTCTCACAGCCCGCATAGGTGTATACTTTCATCAGATGCTCAGAGCACACACAGGGTGGGTCTCTCCCAGGGCATCATCCTGTTCACAGTGGCTTTGGGATTTGTATAACTTCTTGGGTCTTATGATCTAGTTTCTGCATGGTGACAAATGACAATAATGATGATGCTAGTTTTATATTTACCTCCTACTGTGGCTATCACAAATTAGCAAAACTTAGTGGCCTTTCAGTACCACAAATTATCTTAGTTTTAGTCAGAAGTCTCAAGCTGAATTTTATAAGGCAAAACTCAAGACCTCGGAAGGGCTTGTGCTCCTCCTTGACGTCCTAGGGGAGAGAAGAGTATACTCCTTCTACTTCT